GGTGAATCGTCTATAAAAAAGATTTTTCAAACTAATTGTGTTTTATTACCGAAAATAGGAAATTGAACGCAAAAGCGGATTTTAATGCTATTTTATTCGGATAAAAATATTTAGGTACATTAATTCTTTAAAAAAACGTTGAAATTATTTATTAGAAAATACTTATCGTGAACTCTTACTTTGCAATTATTTCTAATTTGCTTACTACTTTTACAAAATTCTGAAAATATTTTCATTGAACCGAATTTATACATAAGCATAATACTCGTATTATGAGCAATGATAAACGGCCTGGAATTCTACTTACGGTAGAATTAAACGGTAGTCAATATTCACATTAAATTTATGTAGATTTAATTTTGGAAGAAAAACCAAATACAATTACTATATTATTTCATTTACCTACGACTAAGACTTTTATTTTAACTTTAAAATATCAAATAATTCTAGAATTAATAAAGGAAAACTACAATTTAAGTTAATATCATTATTTTAATTTTCATAACTTTCCATTTAGTAGTACAATATTTATTTATGTTATAATATATATATATATATATTTATTTTATAAGTATATATATGTATATGCATAATATTTTTATATTACTTAATACAATAATTTTAAAATTCATTTATTTATAATTTAAATTAATTTAATAATAATTATAATTTTAATAATTATGTAGTTTTCATTTCTAAACTACATTTACATTCATTATAATATATATAACTATTTTATTTATAATAATAATTAATAATAATTGTATATACTTATAAATATTTACTATAATTTAAGTTAATTAATAAAAGTATCAATTTAACAACCAGGAAAAAACGAAATAAATAAAAATATTTAATATAAGTGAAAATTAAATTTAATTACAAAAATTGAAATAAAAATATGAAAAAACTAAAATAATTGGTTTTATAACTAAATTTTGGGGTGGAATACGTAATAAAATAACAGTAACAGTAATACGTAATAAAAAATATTTTGACAGTAAGGAAGTTATGAATAAGCCCTAAATTTGACAATATAGGATAATTTTATCCTAATTTAATAAAATACTAAAAACTTCAAATTTAACAGATATATGTGGCATAATTGCAGCACTACTACATTTTTGAATATAATTTAACTATAATACTGCAATATACATTGTTAAAGTTCGTGATGTTACTGTGACGCATCAACAAAATATCATTTTGACATTTGGCAACCCTGTATTGATTTTGTTCAATTTTTAATTATATTTATGTTACTGTCAATTTAAAAATTAAGTATGAATAAATTTTCATATTTTCGAATTACTCATTATCTGCACATTTTATAAGCATATCGGAACATTTTGAATTTTGAACTTTGCAGATTTATGTGCTTACAAAAAGCTTAATTTTATATAGTTGGTATTATTCCGATAACATTTGCAAAACTGAAGTCAGATAAAAATAATTCCATTTTAATAAGAAAAGAATTTATGAAAATAGATTTCATATGTCGTATTAATTACGTCCACCCTAATCTAGCATAAAAAAAAAAAAAAACAAAAAATCTATATTAATTTAATAACAGTTTCATAAATTACCTAAACTGATAATAACAAATACAAATAAATGAATTTCTATTAATTTATTACAAACTCCAATTTTTTTTCCTCATAGGCAACACTGTATAGCTCAAAATAAAAAGTAAATTAACAACATTTTTTTTTCAATATTTTTTGATAAAATAATTTCAATTAAATTGCAATTATTAAAAAATTTAATTTTTCATACAAAAAATAAAAAATTTTTCCTCATTACTTTTAAAATTTAAAATATTATTTTCGAAGTATAACAATAATTACAATAATGAAATTTAATAAAAGAACAACAACAATATATTCACGTATTTTCAATTTTTTTTTAAATAAATTTCAGTAATGAAAATTAAAGTGTATAACAATTAAAAAAATTTTTTGCATATATTATTTATTTAATATTTATTTAATAAAATGTTATTTATTTAAATATATTTATGTATATAATATTATGGGAATCTTACTTTACAGTCTTATTTCCCTAGATTTTACACAAATTAAATAATTTTGCCCTTTCAACTTTGTTTGTTTTTTCTCATTTTTTTTCACACCCTTTTTTTGATATATTTTTTGTTTTTGTTTTTTATTATAATATTATAAACATATTAATTAAATATTAATTTTTTTCTTATTGTAAATTTACAATTATTATTAGAACAGCCCCAAGAGATATGCAAAAAAAAATAAAGAATTTTTTGTATTTTAGAAGAGGAAGAGTCATAAATTTCAATTATAATTTGAAAATATTATACATACAATGTGTTTGTTGGTATAATTTGAATGCATAAAAATAGATGCCACAAAATCAAAGATTAATTTGACATTTTTTGTTCATATAGTTTTCCTTATGCATAATATGCATCTCTGAGTATGTTATTTAGACATGGAAATAATTTATAGATTTTCATGCCGATTTAAGTATAAATTTCGAAAATGAAAATATTTTTTGAAAAATTACACTTTATATGTTAAGCCCATTCACTCATCTTCTGTAAAACATTTAAACAAAGTAAAACATCAATACTTTCATACTGCAACTTAAATGTATAATCAGCCTCCCCCACCACTTATTCTTATCTAGTCAATAAATCTGTAAATATAAAGCGGCCCGGGTCACTTTAAAAATTAAATTTTTATAACATCTATAATTTTAGTTAAAATTGAAAAAGCATACCAATAATATCTGTGTACATCATTCTGAAATTTATTGACTGAAATCTCCAATTGAAAAAACAACTTAAAATAGAGGAGGCTCAAATATGGTAAAATTAAATATCTTATTGAAAATCGTAAGTTAATAAAATGTCGTTGCAATATTAATGTGCCATCCCCTATTCACCATTTTGAAATTATTAAACCTAATAAATGAATATAAGAATATTTTAAGTTTTCCAATATATTAGTGTTTAAGAATAAATTTTTTTATGTAATTTCGGCAGCTATAAAACCAGTTCAATTCCGATCAAAACTACTTACGATATTGAGAAACTTAAAAATAACCTAAGCTCCTCATTGAATTAAAAGTAGTAAGAATTGTAGATAGTTTACATTAATATTGCATGGCAAAAATTGAAATTCAGTTTAAAAGAAAATTAATCTCAAATTATGAGAGATTCAAGTGATCGGTGTTTTGACTATACACAGACACTTCGTTTGCAAAAAATTACCAGAAATGCACAATCTCTTTTAAGCCAGGGACTTGTTGATTCTTTTTCACTTGGTATTTTTTAATTATATATACGTATATAAATATAATTATGAATGTACTAAAACAATAACAACGTAATTATTATAATATACTTGTATATCTATCATGTTATTAATAACCTACAACTACAATTTATATTTATATTTTGGTAATTTGTTTTTTTAAACTATTTCTGTATAATTTAATTATATTTATCTATATATGTATGTATGTATGTATAAATATGTTCTTATCAATATAAAAATTCAATATTATATATATATATATATAAACTTGTTTATATATGAGAAATATTTATACAATATTGCATTACCCTTTAACTTATACATAAATGAACTCATAATAATTTTATTTTTTAATTTTATTTTTTCTTTATTTGGCTTAATAATGGCCACTTTGTGTTTATTTTAAATATTTCTTTTGTAATTTAATTATATTTTATATAATATTAATAATAATTTTATTGTGTTGAAACCGGAGTCCCATTTGCTGTTAAAACAATTGATGCCAAATTTGTGGTCTTCATATTAATTGACGATGGTGGACTATTTAAATTTGAGGTTGCATCCTATATTTTTTTTTAATATAAATAATAATGACAATAATTATAATTATTATGATATTAAAAATATTTTATGAGAATAATTTTTTAATAATTAAAAAGGAAAGAAAAATTTTTAATACAAAACAAATAATTAATATTATTAATAATTACGAGATTATGAAAATTATTAAATTGGTTGAATATTAAATAATATTTGTGTAAATTACGCTAATTATGGTCAATGGAATAATTAATTTAAAAAAAAATTTTTTTTTGGTAAATATTTTTGGTTCAAGGTTATTAAATATTTAAATATTATAAAATAATATTTTATTTAAATAAAAAGTCAAGTCTCTTTATTATGAGAACACAAGTTATATACAGTATAGAATATGTGGCATATTGTATATCGTGACATATTGTATATGCCACGAAATGTGAAACAAGAAAATATGTTTTCAATTTAAACACTGCCCTGGTAAATAAAGAACAGTAATTGAAAATATGAAAGAGAAAACGAAAAAAAAAAAAATTTCGCCGAAAAATATGCAATTTTATACTATGTAAAATGTTCCCTATAGTGATGGATTGACATATACCAGTGTGTAGATCTTCGTTGGTAAGAAAAAAACTGATCCACAATGGGTTTTTATAGCAACTGGTTTGGTAGGTAGCGATCCCTAATGGCAAGATTTTGTCTTTGGTAAAATTAGAATATAATTTTGGATTTTTAAGACATAACGATACTTTTAGATATACGTTAGCACTATTGTAGATAGAAAGCTATTTAACAAACACATAACGAACTTCACAAATTTTTGGTTTAGGAACCTTAACGTTTTAAAAAAAATAATTTTTTGAACAATTTTTCGTTTTTTTTTCGAAGTGACGGTGGTATTTTTTTTTTTTTGGTGGCGTAATATGAGTGCTATCCAAAGATTAGCGAGATTCAGAAATCTTAATTTACGCGCTTTTGTTATAACACTTATTAGCACATCTTATGAAAAAATTAAACTGTACAACTTTTTTAGAACATGTCCAAAAGAATCGTTTTGTTTAAAAACTTTCTGTTAAATTTTCATTTTTCTCTAACATAGGCAAATAAAATAAAAATTTTTCCATTCTAATTTATCATCTCTTATATACTTACAATACTTAAAGCACCAACAATACCATTATTTCTTGGCCTTTTTGATTCCATAATTGGTGAACTATCACGTGATGAAATTGAACCATTCAATTTCATATCTTCTAATTGATGAACTGTTGACACTGAAGATGTTTTACTATCTAATGATATATCATCTGAATGATGACTATGATTATCCTTCAAGTTTTATAATAATATTTATAGTTTCAAATATTTTTGAAATGATAAGAAAAAAGATTCAAATGAGAAATAAAAAATATTATATAACATTAATATATGGTAACACATATAAAATCATAATGGTCATAATAATAATTCATACACACATATTTCATTCATACAAGCATTAAAAATATCAAATCTGTTATAAAAATTATCAGAGACGGAAAAAATCTAAATGGGGTAATTTCGTTTTAAGGTCAGGCTTAAGTTAGTCAAAAAATGCCTAAGTTCTCTTTCACTTCATAGTGAAAATTAGAGCTAAAAATTAGTGCACCTTTTTATGATCACAATACGTTTAAAACGTGGTCTACGTGCTGAGAAATGAAGAATTTCAGATTATGGAACTCATTATACTTAATAGTAAAATGAAAATTTTAAAATAGTTTACATTCACAGTATTTGGATTACTCATTCAATTTCATCAGATTTGCTGAAGGAGTTGTCAGTTACATATTCTAAACAAGAGCCCGATTGAGAGAAATTTGTAAATTTAATGCACCTTTATATGGAAAATCCGATGTAAATAGTGGGGGTTAGCTTTAAATTTAAATAGATATACATATATTACGTCGTTGGAATTCTTAAGATATTATTTACTTTCGATGTTACAATTGAATGTTAAGAAAGTCTTATTGAAGGGTAAAAAAAATTATCTTTCAAAATCTTTTAAAAACTTCTTAGTCGAACATTTTCAAATCACAAGAATGTCATTAAAAGTCCCATATTACAAATTGTTGTGAATGCCCCTGCTCTGCACCGATTATGTCATATATTCCATCACATGTACATCTACATGCTTGTCACAAAAAATTATAAGACATAAAAAAAAAAAAACAATTTATTTAAATGAGAAAACCAATAACATGATCATAACAATCTCATCAAGGTGAAAAATAAAAAAGAGAATAAACAATAAAACATTTTTCAAAATCTCACCACAATACCTGTGAGCAAAAAAGCAAAGATGATAAAATTATGGTGATATGATGAAAAAGTCATAAATTGGTCTAATAAAAAAGACAAAAACGATAATGAAAATTAATTAAGTTATTTCACATCATCAAAAATGTAATAAAGAAAATGTGAAAATTTTATATTATAAAGGAAAACTGCAATAGAAAAGAGGGGTAAATGATAATATAAGAAAATATTCATGTCATCATCAATCATTTTCAATGAAGATTTATTTTTCACATTCTTGAATATTTTCCTTATATATATAATTTCTATATTAATATGTACATACACAAACACAGACGTATAAATTCGAAATATACATATTTGTTGCATATATCTAGGCTATATGGTGAAAATTGTTTATATGCTTCAAAAATTAAATTAAAAATTCCAATGGAAATTATATAGAAACCCCAAGAAAAAAAAAAGGGAAATTTCATTTATCCTTTAGGTATAAGAAAGTGAGCAAAAGAATTTTATTTGTAAATATGAAAGGAATTCAAAGACAAGAAGTCAGACATTTAAATATATACAAGGAGTATCAAGAGATGAAGTGTATTTCTTCCCTTTTCAAAATTATTAATTATTTGTTTATATAATATTATTTAATTACACAAATTTTATTAATAATATTTTGAAAAATATTCAGAAATGTGATTCGATTGCTGAATTTACTAACTTAAAAATGTACACTTTAATAGAATACCTACACTTAATAGATTGTATAGAATACCGGCTTAACCTCATAATGATTTTATTAACTTATTTAAATTATTAATAATTTTTGGAATTTAAATTAACGAATCAATATTCTTTTCTACTGTATATTGTAATTCCATTTGTATAACATTCCAAAATGCAGGAGCCAAATATACAACGGAATTGTTGACAAGAGTATTTATAGTCCGATAAATAATAGAGAGAAAATTTTACCAGTTCTCCTGTGTCATTTCGTCAATCTATGATTTTTACAGTTCTCTAATGAACTTAAGTTAATAAAATTTAATTTATTTCTCTTTGAATTCACTCAAATTCTTTTTTAATTAACTTGCAGTCAAATAACTACTTTGCCACTTTTTTGGTAAAATTTGAAGTGCCAGTAAATGATGGATATTATAAATAATGAATGCGAGTGTCGGCAATACGAAGAGAAGAATATCGACAATAAGAATAAAATGAACATATTCTCTTCCTCTCTTTATATAAAAAGCAGGCTAGTTTTAAATATTAATTTCATTTCTATAAGATCGCATTACTCTTAAAATTTTCAATTTTGTAACACCTTGCATTATTCTACAGCAATCTTACATACAAGAAATCCATTAACAATATTTGTTGTCTTGATTGTAACTCTCATAATATATGCACAGAACATAGACACACATATATATTATATAAAACGTTTACAGGATAATGAATATTTTAATTTTTAAGTTTACTAAAAATTCAGAACGGAAAATATTTTCATTGCCATAAAAAAAGGGGTTTATGTATTACGTTCATTTCATTTATACTCTGCACCTTCGTCAAGGGCATATTTTTATTTTGATACAGAGTTTGTAACCTCTTGAAATAGTCGTCTGCGGTATGGACATATATATACGATATATTCTTTCTCAACATTGTATTTTGCGTTGATTTAGACATGCCCGTTCGTCCGATCGCTCGATAACTCACAAACGAATAAAGCAAGCACCACCAAATTTAGTAAACACGTGTTCAATTATACTTTACATAATATTCTGAAAATTTTAATGAATTTTAGATAATTAGAATTCAATTACATTTTAATTTTAATGAATTGGTTCAGGTAGTTGCCATACAACTCCAAAAGGAAATTTCAAATATTCGAAAAAATAATTAAGTTACATTCATGAAACTTGGCAGTCCGTGTGCCCAAACATAAATCAGACCATTACATTAAGTTTTTATGGAATGGTTAGACAAATTCCAGTAACTTCCATACAACTATGAAAAATTCTAAACATTTCAAAAACAAACTTAGATTGTCAAGGTATAGGGTGTATACTTTGTGTAGGAAAACGTTTTTACTTGTCGTATAGGAAAATGGCATCAACATTTATATACGAATAAATTCTACATAAATTTTAAGATGAAGGAAAGGAAAATTGAGAAATTTTTAAAATTCTCTATTCGGCCTGAATCATTTTAAACACCATCAACATCAACATTTTAATAATATTATTATCAATTAAAAAAAAAAGAGAAAAAACAACAACATCATAATAAACAGAAGTGATCCTTTTAAAAGATGTTTTTTGTGTATTAATTAATTTACAAAAAAAAAAGGAAGACAAAAATATGAAAAAAAATTGGATAAAGGACGGCAAGGAATGCGGTGAAACCGGTTTGATTTTTGTTCTCTTTTCTATTTTTTTTGTTATGCATAGAAGAGATTACAAGATTTTTACTTTATAATTTTTAACCATGGCTAGGCTATAAGTGTATTAACGGAGAAATGAAGTAAATAAAGATGGATAGGGAATAAATTACGAAAAGGATTAATTTATTAAAAACAATTTCTAGAGGAAAATTTGAGAATAAAAAAAATCTCCAAGTTTTCCTTTTAATTTTTGATTAAAGGCTTTTTTTTTGTACACTAACCACTTTTTATGCTTCCTTGTTTTCGGTACTCTGCTAATAAAGATATTTTTTTTTTATATAATGAATTTAATTTCAAAGTGAATAAAGTTTATTTTATTTTGAAATTTCAGAAAAAAATTTTTTATCTGTTCAATGTTACTTTTTAGCACTTTTCCAAAAAATTTTTTGAAAAAAGTGCTTATTAGTTTCACTCTGTCCGTCCGTCCGTCCGTCCGTCCGTCCGTCCGTCCGTCCGTCCGTCCGTCCGTCCGTCCGTCCGTGGACACTTTTTTTGTTTACAAAACTTCTACACCCTTGAAGATAGAAAGCTGAAATTTTATATATACATAGATCTTTACTAGAAACTTATTTTCGTAGAACAAAATTTTTACCTATCTCCCCCCCTCTAGAAGTTATACCCCCCCAAAACCCTAAAAATGGCCTTTTTTAAATATTTGTTGCAATGAAACCATAAGTATTTTTGAAATTTTGCAAAAGCAGAAAGGCAGCGGCTTGCTTCCCCTAGCGCGTTATACTATAGTTAAACTTTAGAAAAACAAAATGGCCGTTCAAATTTACCGTTATCTAAAGTCCTTTTTTGCCAAATTTCGATGTCATTTTTCTTCTAGACCCCAGCCTGTAGAAGCTTGAAATTTTAGGAACTTTTAGACATTAACAAATAGTTCATTTCGTTAGAAGAAAATTTTTTTCCATCTCCACCCCATCTCAAGTTATCACCTCTTGAAATTTGTAAAATTTGAATTTTTGACACCTTATATTTCCAAAACCGCAAGCTTTTCCAAATTTTTATAAACGCAAAAAGCTACCGGTAAATTCCATGAAATTAAAAAATATAATTATTTCTCTTAACTCACACAATTAACCCTTAAAATCGAGCATTATGTTAACCCCTTTTTATATTAATTTTTGCTTTATTTCAAAGACTGCATATATGCGTCATCCTAAATATATGCAATTCTAGAAATAGTTTTGTATATGAATGAAAATAATTTTAATAGTTTGATAGGTATACATAGACTGTATTTAAAAGCAGAATTTTCACTTGTTGAAGGGAAAAGTGCTACAATACAAACCATTGGTTTGACCCAACTTTATTTACTATTGCATGACGGAAAACCTTGTGTACGTGTAAATGAAATTTATTAAAGAGAATTTTAAGAGAATTTGGAAATTTTCTAAAGTTCAATTACTTAGAATAAATTAAATGTAAAACTTTTTTTTTGTATTTCAAGTAAAAATCGCCGGCAGAAGAGGTAAAAACTGTATATAAATTTTTCTTTTTTTTCAATTTAGTTTTAAACTTGGAGGGATATTGGAATTTCGGATTACTTATTTGGGCTTTCTAAGTAAAAATTCAATCTAGTGTGTATTGAAAAAAAGTCAACTGTATAGAAAAATGTATATTATTTATTTAGAAATTTTGGAAAAAATCTATAAAGTGAATGATTAACGGAAGTATGAGGCAGGAGTTCGTTATACAAAGTAAAAAATTTGGCCGAGACTGATATCGAAAAAATTGAAACGGATTTTTATAAGCTTGGAAATTTGTTTCAAGCCCCGATGAAGTTTGCGTACTTTTTTCAGCTCTGGCTCTTACGTGTTTAACGTAACTATGTAATTTATAAATAAGCTCTTTTCCCGCCCCCCCCCTCCTTCATATTTTGTACCGCCCCTACCTTATTTAATATTATTGGAATTTTATACAACAATTTTTTGCATATTTTTTCTCTTCCGTATAGTTTGTGTTTTTCTTGTATTGCTTTTGAGTCTACTATTGCAATCATATTCCAAGAATTTTCAATTGCTTACTTCACATTTAAGTTTTGCTTGGATAAAGACGTAATTCTTTTTCGTATAAAGTTCGTATAAAGTAATAATCTAATTGCAAATTTATATTTTTTTATCGGTTGCATCAATTGTCATGAAAGATATTAGTATTTATATCGTTATAGTATATAATGTTAGATAAACATGAACGAATTTACAGGGCCACTGCCAACACTTTTGCTCATGAATGAATCACTTTATTGTCAAAACGATTGAGAGACTTTAATATCTAATATTACACTAACTGTATTGTTCACACATTCAATTATTAAATTTTCAACAATCTTTGATAGCTTTAAAGAGTGATTACTTTAAACATACTGCAGCATGGTCTTAAATTATTCTAGCATAATTCATTAATCATAAAATAGTAAATCATAAACATTCCTACAGGGAGGAATGATTTACTATGACTTACCACTGTACAAACCATCTTTTATCGTGATAGAATGTTACATATTTTGTGATTTTTAAAATTTACTAAATAAAATTAGTGTTCACATTAATGCTACACATTTTTCAATTAAAAAACCTTCAAAGAATGAAAATTTTTGTTGGAAAAACTCAATTTTCATCGCAAAATTCTTACCCATATACCAACTATTATGAATAAAATTTCACATAATTAATTTTGTTTAGAAATTTTAAAAATTTATAAAACCTTTGCAAGCATGTCCTTTTATAAACAAAAATTATTAATGGAAAAATATTTCCGTCTTTTTAAGAAAAAACCACATAATATTAACAATCACATTACATACCAATGTTTTAACAAAATTTTTATTTTTTTATTCCCAAAATTTTCAATAATTCACTTACCTCTTTTATCATAAAACCGATTGGACTTTGAACATTTAATCGATTATTCAATTGATTTTGAACATTTAATATTGTCGAATTTTCTACTGATTCACCATTACAAATTCGATTTAAATTTTCATTACTATGTCCATTAACTAATATATGATTAGATCTACTAATATTATTATTATTATTATTTTGAGGCTGACCGGCATTTATATTTTGTTGTTGTTTTTGTTGATTTTGTACATTTAAAGTGCTCGAATCATTATTATTATTATTACTGCTGTTATTGTTGGTGTTATTGTTGTTGTAAATAGTATGAATGCTGGTTGACATATTATTTAATGTTGCAATAGTGTTATTATTACTGTTATTCATGGTACCAATTTTATTATCTAAATTTATTGTTGATGTTGTTGTTGTTATATTTGATGTAATACCATTATTATTTTCTTCATTACCTAATTCATATATATTAACCATATGGGCAGCTTGGGCATGTACCATTAAATCCCATGGATTTATAAAGGCATCTTTACATACGGCACATAATAATTTTGTTGTTGGTAATGGATTTTCTATATCCAAAAACATAAGATTAATAAAACAGGATAATAAATAGGGAATTAGTAAAATTTATATAAAAATAGTTGTGATATTGGTATTTTTGAAAAAAAAAAAAATTATACAGAAATGAAAAAATTTAATTATGGACTCACTTGATATTGAATTTGTTATTGAGTTGTCTTGACATTTACATGTAAAACGTAATTTACAATAACTTCTCTTATGATCTAATAATTCTGCTAAATCAGTAAAACATTCTCTACAATTACCGCATATTAATGTATCGGGATTACCTATATATAAATTTAGAAAAAAAATTCAAACATCATTGGTTAAGTCATAAAAAAAAGGACAAATAAATTTTGACAATTTTAAAGCATTAATTCACTTACTATAAACTTTAAAAGGCGCTAAATATTGTTGTTGTTCTTGTTGTTGAATTTGATTCTCTGCTATTGATTGAGGTTGAATTTGTAATTGTTGTTGCTGTTGTTGATGATGCTGCTGTTGTTGTTGATGCTGCTGCTGCTGCTGATTTTTCTGTTGAAATATTAATTCTTGTGGACTGCAATGTCCATTTGAACCATTTTGAATAAGACAATTTTGTGTAATACCATTTGTTGTAATTTGTTGATCACAGTTAATAATATTTGACAGATTATCTGTTGTAATTTGTAATTGTTCTGTTAATTTTCGTTGTTGTTGTTGTTGTTGTTGCTGATGATGATGAAGATGATGTTTATTATTTGAATTTGTAGAATTATGAAGAAAATTTTTTGCAAAATTATTTATAGATGGTTGTGATACTAAGGCTGCATTTGTTGTATTATTACATTGTTGTGCAGCTGATACAGCTGCAGCTGCTGCAACTAATCCATTAACTGTTGTACCATTCGCTGTAACTAAATGATTAGCTTGACCATGTTGATTTAAAACTAATTGTTGTGGTAATAAATTAGCTTGTTGTACTGCTGCAGCTTGTGCTGCAAATGCAGCTGCTACAACAGCTGCATGTTGTTGATGCTGTTGCTGCTGCTGTTGTTGTTGTTGTTGATGATGGACGGATGATAAATTTAATTTTGATCCATTACGTGTGGGATGTGACATTAAACGCTGACGTTTCAAAGGACGTGGTGAATTACCTTGTAGTAATGATGATGTACAATAACTATCGTAATAATAATCCCTTAAAAAAAAAATATAAAAATGGAAAATTTAGTATTATTAAAAATGGTAGATTTTGATAAAATTATTCAGAATATTCGTATTGGAATTAATTAGAAACTATTTTGAAAATTCTTAATTCGATATTTTTCAGATTAATTCAGACAGACAGTAACAAATAGTTAATGTATAACAGCTATTTATTTAGTATGCTATTTTATAATCCTAGATTAAATGCAGCCCCAAAAGACATTTTACATTCAATACATTATAAAAATAAGTAAGCGCAGAGTCAACTATTCGTAAATTTAACATGACATTTAATTTTCCTAAATCATTTTTAAAATCGTACAAAATTCTATAAAAAGACTATTGTTAAAAATAATTTAAATTACCGGGCACAAAAATTCATTGAATCCTTTATTTAAATACTTCTCTTTCCCTGTCTCAAAATAATAAATTGCTTTGGAATAGAGTTATAGTAAAATGATCGATGAAGAAAATAATTTCCGAAAAAAGAAATTATTTTTACTTTAGAGAATTTGTATTTTAAAGGTGCATTTAATTTTAGCATTTATTGAAATACTCTCAAAACTGCCATGTACCATGTATATATGTATACCATTAGGGAATATCCATTAATATACTAAAATTTAATAGAATTTACATAATTTAATATAAACAACAATATTTTATAGTAAATTTATTTTTTTTTTTCCAGACATTTTAAAAGGAAATCAATTTTCTTGTCCTTTTTCATTTTCATGTTTTAATAAATCTATCAATCAAATCGGACCTATACACTCCTGTAACCCCATTCAAATGCACCATATTATAAGAGAAAATATTTATTTTCAAATTTAGTTTTTCAATTCATTTAACACTTAATTTAAAAGTGATGGTAATTTTTTTACGGACAAGGTACTTTTACGATAATTCTTATTTCATACAGAAACTATTTTTCTAAATTCAATAAAAAATGTTAAATGGTTTGTCAATAAATTTCCAACATTCTAATTTTTTATATTTGAAATTATTTGATCCTTTATGTTTTCACAATGGGTGGATGTTTGGTCAGATTGGTTCATAAATGGAAAGAAACTTATTTCATAAAGAACACATTTTTTTTTTGGAATCTACACACATTCAAATAAAGTGCTGAAGCTTTCTTTTTTTTTCAAATTTGTAATTTTAAAATTTTAAAACTTAAAGTGTTATTGTTTTTGAATAAAATTTCTTATATAACGACAACCTTGTTATAGTAACTTTAATATTATCATTTTTAAGCACATTTCCAAAAGTATTTTGAAAAATGCTTGTTAGTTTCAATCTGTCCGTCCTTTCGTTCGTTGTTGGACATCTTTACAAAACGCCCAAATCCTTGAAGATAAAAAGCTGAAATTTTATATGTACTTTACTAGAAATTTATTTCCGTAGAAGAAAATTTTTTCTACCTCCAACTGCTATCAAATTATGGTTCCTCGAAATTTTTAAAATTTCAATTTCGGCACATCATATTTCCGAAAGTGCACGCTTTTTAAATTTTTATAAATGTTGGAAGTTAACGGTAATTTCCATGCAATTGACCCTCGAATTCGAACATTATGTTAACGCTTCTTTCAATTGTTTTTTTTCTCGTCATCCTAGATGTATGCAAATTTTTAATTTTTTTGTTATATGTATGAAGGTACATTACTTTATTAAGTAGCATCAAGATCGTTCTTAAAAGCAGTATTTTTGATTTGTTGAAGAGAAATGTGCTACTCTAGAAACAATTGGTTTGACTTAAATTTATTTTCAACGCAAGTTAAAATTTTTTTCTTAAATTGCAGAAGAACAAAATTAATGTTCCAAATGTTATGCAGGGCAAGTTTTTTAAAACAAAAACGAAAACTTAATTCTCCTAACTTTTGTATAGTCTTTTGCAAAATTGATATTTTACGCAAGTTAAAAAGCAGAATACAGGAAAAACCAAAAAAAAAACTTACCAGTCATTTCCTGTTTTTGTAACATTCTGCCGTTTTCGTCCAATTTGATGTGGTTTGGGTTCCGCGACCATATTTACATCTGAAATTTTTGAAAAAATTATTAACATTTTTTTTTAGGATATATAAAATTACAATGTTTTTGTGTTTTTTTGGTTGCATTAATCTTGAACAATGTTAAAAACGAAAATGTTTTTAAATTTTAATATTTTTAAACTCCTTTTTGCAAAAAAAAATGTTATTAAGTCTATAACACCATCTTTAGAATTGTCTAGTGTCAGTTTTTGAAATTTGTATAGTTTATAATAAAAATAAAGTTGAAAAAGTTTTTGTGTTTTTTTTTCCCTTACACCTCGGGGAAGCATTAGGACCTTCCACTTGACTTTAGTCTATCAGTTTTACAGGTCATTGAGTTAACTAAGTAGTGACCAATCTGCCGTATTAAGATAAGAGTTTGTTAATAAAAAAGAGATTGATTATTCTCTATCTTTTTATCCGGTTTCAAAAGTCATTAGCTTTTGTTGATATTGTTAGTATTCTGTACCGTTTCTCTGTATAAACAAAAACGCATTGAAACCGCCTTTAAATCGTATTCAAATCGATAATTGAATACAATTACACTGCATTGTCTAACAATTTACAATTTTTTCTTACAATTCCAGATACAAATTTTAATTTTTTGACATTGACATTTCTCTTGAAATTTACATTATTGATAATACATATTATAAATGTAATTCTAACATTTTTTATTCATTGCCGATGTTGTACACCAAAAATCCAAAACGTTTGGAAAATGCATTTTATGCAATTCGGAATGTGTAACAAAAATGTTTTTAAGTAACAGTATGAAACGTTTGCATACATTGCCGTATACTCCTTTGTTACGAGTACAATACAGAAAACTGCCATTCTTTTGAACTTAACAAAATTTTCGATATCTCAGTGTCGTTTCTTCCAAAAGATAATTTAGTTATAACTTTTTAAGACGTGTTTTTCTCAATTTAATTTGACAATATTAGAGAAATTATCCGAATGAAAAAAATTTCTTCTGGATTTTAGAATTTGCTAAAAAGAACTTTAATATTGTAGTATGTCGATTATATGGCACTAAATTGATTTATGCAGTTCATACTTCTTAATTTTTGCAACTTGAAAAGTAAGCACATAAATTTTTTAATTAAAAAAAATTAAAAATTTCATTTTAAATTTCTTTGTTTGCCTTTAGTAAAAGTTTGATGCCCACTCGTCTTTGTTATATAGCATATTATTTTTATCTGATTTACAAAAAAAGAACATGTGGCCAAAACCTGAATTTTAAGAGAAATATAAGATAATTGATTTGTTTTGGAAGCTCTTACGCGTAAAATCGCGCAAAACAGTTCTTCCAACTTTGGCATTGCATAAAATTTGTAATTTTCACAAAATATCATCGAAATTCTAAAATCAAATTAATACAAGAAAATCAAAAAACCAAATAAAATATTTGAATTTCAATTTTGAGAAAATATTTTCATAATTAATTATTAAGTAATGATGAAATATTGCAAAAATTCACTTTTGATTTAAAATTTATTTTAGTCAATTATTTATTTATTTTGTATAGAAATTTTCGATTTATAATTAATTTAAGAAAAGAAAAATAAATATGGAAAAATTTTCTTTTTAATTTACTCTCTCTCTCTCTCATGAACATTAATCATCCCACATTACCTCTGTTATGAATGCAACTTGCAACTAAACTTATGATCTTTATTAATATATGCACTATGTGTGTATACGTATGCATTTTGCAAATAAATCATGCAACTTAAATTTTCCAAAACAGTTTGCATAAACGTTCACACTTTCAGTTGTCATGATATTGTTTTTTTTTTTTGTGAATCTCAAATGCAATTCTCAAATGTTTATTTTGGCTTCATTTAAATAAATAACGGGATTTTCTTTTGAATTCAACAAATTTAGAAAAATTCGATTTTATTATATAAAATGATTAATGAGAGTCATTAGAATTCAATAGAAATAAAATTTGAAATTTTTCTTTAATTAAATTTCTAATTATGCGTATAGCGTTTTTAAAGGCAATAATTGTATTGAAGATCTAAAAGGGCAGTTTTGAAGTTTTTCAAATATTTGTGTTGTAATAATAAAGTTCTTTCTATAATATTTGTGTTTGAATTCATTAATTTTTTACTACATCTAATGAGATTTGAATTGCAAGAAGATCTCATATGGTATTTAACTCAATTCTTAAAATAAATTAGAAATTAAACTATTCAATTGCGTTAAAATTTTCGCTATAGAAAACTTGTCCCAAAATTTAAGATTCAAAATAATTTGATTACTATTTTCCCTTTATTGGAGCAGCATACAAGCAAGGCTGTCGTTTTAGCTCCGAACGTAGCTTTTGGCGAACATTTCGTCGGCTGAGTGCTATTTTGATCCATATGCCACTTTCGAAATTTCTGACTTAAGACCAACAAATTTTGTTAACACGTGCTGCGGTGCCTTAGCATAATTTTTAATTCACGTATCTTACGTGAAGTTTTATTACTATGTATTTCATGTTTGAATATGATTTGCTATAGAAAATATTGCTGCAGTTCAAAATTTTTGATCCTGTACATTAAAATGCGAAAGAAAATTAACCTCGAAAATTGTTTGTTTTCATCAAAATCATAATTCAAACTTGGAAAGTGTTGAATACCTATAGTTTAAAAGAAACTGCAACTGAAAATTTTTGCGGCTTTACATCTATATTGTCTTCTTAATTCACCTTTACATTTATAATACCTTAACGACTAACGAAAGTTAAATATGTTGTGTGTCTTTTAAATAGATGTGTCAAGTTTCAAATACAAATAGATTGGTTAACATTGAATATCAAATTACAAAACAATTCCACTCCGAATTAAGGTATAATCAAAATTTTAATAAGTATGGAAAGTAATTTATAGTATTATAATTTCGGGCTTCCTTCTAATCATAAAAGCTCCGTTTTTTTGCAAAATCAGTTATTTTATCATATGAAAAACGGCAGCCCAGCATACGAGTCGAAGAAATTATTTTATAAAACGGTATGTCCAACATTAAGATTTTGTATTCATTTATGAAAACAAAAATATCGACTAGATCGAAAGATTAGATTTGAGCAGATTCGGGCTTAAAGCAATTGTTTTGCTATACATTCTAAATGTAGTCAGCGCTGGATCTGCTATATATGTATATGTAAAGTCAGCATATGCAATGAGCGCAATTATTATGCTCAATGTGCAATGTGCATTGTATATTATTCATTGCTTTGAAAGCATTTTAGAAACCGCTGCGAAGATCGAACAAGTCAAAACCAGTTCTGACTGTAGCCAAACAAAAGTACTGTACTTGAAGCCTTGAAACGAGTTTTACGTACATGTATTTTACCCAATATCAAAATGTACCTTGGCACATTCATTTTACCAAATCATGTAAATTGATTCCATTAAATTTCTTTGTGTTTTCTCAACAATTTTAGTGCATAATGTTTTTAGTCTTAAAAGATTTTTTCATTTAAACATTCTTTATAAAATCTATTTTTTTCACTATGATAGTTAGATTTTCTATGAACACATTATAGAGTAATGATATCCTTAAAATACAAAAAATGTATCTGAGTACGTGCTAATAATCACAAAAGGCATCATCCCCACCTTTATCTTTTCAACTCTAAAATTTTATATGAATAGAAGAGATTCACTTTCTGTTTTTATTCTTCTTCCCTTTTTACCGACCGTATTGTGTAAACAATAGGTAGGTTATGTGATGGCAACAAATTTTGCATATCGAGTTTTCGGTGGGAACGTACTTCTCCATAGTAGGGAAGTGTAAATAAACTATTTTTAGCAACCTGTCGGTCTGTCGGTCTGTCGGTCTGTCGGTCTGTCGGTCTGTCGGTCTGTCGGTCTGTGTGTGCACGCGTGTATCTCAAGTTCGGCTGAACCGATTTTGATGAAATTTTATATGTAAGTTTGTTTCCACCATGGCACGGATCGATCAACTTTTGGTATATATCAGGCCTCGGGAACTGCACTTTTTAACGGGCCTATTTTACATTTTTGAACATTTTGAAGAAAATATTCAACCGATTTACTTGAAATTTTAAATATAAGCTCAGCTCGACCGTCCGCAAAAATTCGTATGTTTTGGAAGAAATCAGGCATCGGCAACTAGACGTTTACTACGGGCCAAATATACATTTTTGTGTATATAAAGAGAAATAATCAATCGATTTCATTGAAATTTAATATATGAATTCCCCGTATTAAAACAATGAACATGTAAATTTTTTGGAAAGATCAGGCATCGGCAACTAGACGTTTACTACGGGCCAAACATACACTTTTGTGTATATAAAGAGAAATAATCAACCGATTTCATTGAAATTTAATATATGAATTCCTCATATTAAAGCAATGAACATATAACTTTTTTGGAAAGATCAGGACTCGAGAACTGATTTGCGGGCCGATTTTACATTTTTCACCATATCCACAGAACAAATTAATGGAATTTCTTGAAATTTGATATTTGAGTTCTGGTTGTTACCCAAACTAACTGGCGAGCATTTCAGGGAATTCGGGTAGCACAAAGCGAAACTCTACTAAGAGCCAAATTTACATTTTTCTAAGTATGTTAACTATAAGCTTACTAATGTCCAAAAAATTGGAAAGAAGTATTTAACAGACATTTTTATAATATTCTGTAACACTTTCATTTAACTAGACAATACACAATGCGGTCGGTTATGTGCTGACCACATCAGATTTTTTTTATCTTACCATAAAATCTTTTAATAGATGTATAATAGCTTAATATCCTTTTTTTATATCCTTATATAAAAATACCATTACCTAACAAATTTTTTATTTCTAATTTTGGTATCCCATGAGATGAAATTGGGCATAAAAAAGAGAAAATATTTTTTTTTGTTCTATTCCTTTTCTTCTTCTTTTAAAATAACTTTAAAATGTTAAAAATACAACATTTCGGAAAGCGTTTTAATGTCAGGTTAAAGAGATCCATGGTGAAATAAATTACAGTTAAAAAAGCCTGTCCGTATGTATGTTTAACGAAAAGTATTATATACGTTATATGTAATAAAACACACATGTACATAGGTATATATATGAGTACATTCACTTACCTAATACTTGGCTAAGTATCGTCCTTCCATCTTCACCGTGGCAAGCATTTCTGGCATCAAATGGATTTGTAAATTGTACAAATGCATATCCTTTGTGCATTGAAATTCCTACAAAATAAAAAGATACAAAATTTATACATGTATATACAATTTTTTTTTTCTTTTATATTTATAAATTTTATATTTAATGCAAATCTAACAAAATTGTTGGCTTATATTATATTTTTGCACAATAAAGGGTAATACAGGGTTTCCAAAATTAATTTTTCATCAATAACAATTTAAAGAATTATTGTGAGAAAATTTAAATATGAATGCCATTTTGAAAAGCAGATTAAAATTATGTTTTGATTGCACACAAATTGAAAATGACATAGATCGAATCAACCAATGGAAAACAATCCATCAAATCAGCATAATCTATTTAAAACAAGTGAAACAGTTAACATTGGTCTTACTGAAATTGAAAATTTGAGCTATTTTTGAATGCACTTTTCTTTACTGTAATAATTTCTTTCAAATCAATTTGAAAGATATATAAAACTGGGGAACATTTCTTTGGAACCTAAGTTGTCTTGAAACCGATTTTTAAACAGAAGAGCATTTATGATAGTTTTAAAGGGCTTTTTTATGAATTTATGCTTAAACCATATTATTACAATTTGTATTTGTTACATTCAGCTGATTAGATAGGACCAACAACAACAGCGACTTGTATATTAGAACGAGCTTGTCAACCGGATAGACAAACAAGCATGAATACGATCATTTATATGGTCAAAAATGCTTCTTTTTCGGTGTAATATCAATTGGCGTCATAACAAACTATGATCTAATTTAACCCCCCCACATATTCGCACATGTTGTATGTATAATTAGGTATAAAATGGAAATCAATGGAAATCACCTGTTATATATAAAGACATAAAAATATTAAACAACCTGTATTCATATATTAAAGAATATTTGCATTAAAGGAAATTAAAAATAACGTAAAAATTGCATTGTGATTTATTAAAAAGAATACAAGTGAAAACATTTGCATATCCGTTTTTTTATAGAAAATATAGTTGTGCAATACACTAAAGTCATTTTTCGAATTTTGTATGAAATTTTAGAAAATTTTGCTACTAATCTCTTAATCTGAGTTTTGCATTGGTTTTTAATGCTTGAACTCATACAAAAAGAAAATATAATCAAAATAAAATTGGTACAGCTGAAGTCTCTAATTAGTGAAATCAAAAATTGAGAATCAAGCAATTTACAATAAATTTTTTTAAGAAAATTGGAGCGATAATAGTACGGTAACAATAGAAAGTAGTTTCAGTTTCAAAATTATTTATTCCAGTTTGGCTTAGCGGTAGTAAAGCCAAAATTAAATTAATATTTATTAAATACTTTTCTAATCACTCAATTATGCTTCCCGGGAAATGTTTCCTAATTTTTATCGAAAAAATATCTGACTAGTCAAGATTTCTAAGTAATTTCGTTTGAAAGCTATTATTTTTATATTTACAAATTGACAAATTTTTCTTACAAAATAAAAAACAGACCGATTATAAGAGCCTGATCTTTGTAGGAACTGCTGTGACTCCGGCATTGATCCTTTGGGTCTTACTTCTTCGGGCACGCTACGGAATTAGCGAAAGTAAGCAAGTAAGCGTTAGGAATTTGAATCGATTTTTAAGGAGCTCGGGCTGGTTCGGATGAGGAGCGGAAAAGGAGAGATCCGGCGATACCACAACGGGCTTAGTTGGCCTATGTGTACCCTTCGGGGATCCGCGACAACCTAACCTAACCTAAAAGCCTGATCGTCTATCTCGCTATTTTACTCGCCAAGTGAGAAGAAAGTGAGTAACCATCATATATTTGTACAATGTTATTTTTGATTGAGAAATTCAGTAAATAATTTAATTAAGGTAATCAAAAAATGAGTAATATTATTATAGAAATGAAATGTATATTAGGAAAACGAAGAATTCGGATTTGAAAGTGAATAAAAAAAGAGATGAAAAAGCGAGATACGCGATTAGACTGTAAGTTTTTGAATCAATAATTTTTTCGTTGAACAAGAATTTCATTGATTGAACACTGAGTTAAATGAAATATAGCCATCTACTTTTTAATAAAACTAACTCAACAAAAACTCCTCGTTTGTCTCGTCTTATGTCCGTTTAGTTTCAGAATCGTATTTCATTAAAATGATCCAATCAAACGCTTTAAAACTGATTTTCCAGTCAATTCAAGAATTGAAATTTTAGTTTATTACTAAAATTTTTTTATAGTGTTTTGATTTCAACATAAAATTCGTGCCCATATAAATTCTCCATTTTCCATCAAAATATTTTTAATAATAAAAATGGACGAAAATATAATATATGTAAATAACATTTCAAAAATATTACTTTTATTTAGAAAAAAATAAAAAGAAATTTTAAATAAAAGAAAAAAAAAATAAAACTTTTCCTTGCGGTTTAAAATATTTTTGTGCTAACAACCCTCTAAAAAGAACCACCAGCTTTCATCATATTTTTAGATTTGAATAGAAAAATTCATAAAAAATAAACAAAAAAAACATTTTGTAATTTTTGTTTTGAGATTACTTTTCCTGATAGGAAATTGCATTTTTTTAAACAAAACCTCCAACAAATTGTAAAAAATATGAAAAAACAAGTAAAAACGCTTCAGTCGGTATAAACCGATTGAATTATACCCTGCACCTTTCGTTATTATGTAGCAATTACACGAACCCGTGAAGTCATTCTATAGAAACTTCACGGATATGTTTGACCTATAATTGGACATCCGACTGCCAAGTTTCATGAATCTGACTTTATAATTTTTCCAAATATTTAAAATTAGCTTTAGGAGTTGTATGGCAAGTACCTGAACCTGTCAAGCAATTCCATCAAAACTTCATATATCTGAACTACAATCGGACACACAACTGCCAAGTTTCATGAATCTGTCTTTATTATTTTTCCAAATATTTAAAATAAGCTTTTAGAGTTGTATGGCAAGTACCCGAACCTGTCAAGCAATTCCACTAAAACTTCACAAATATATCTGATCTACAATCGGACACACAACTGCCAAGTTTCATGAATCTCACTTTATTGTATTTCCAAATATTTAAAATTAGCTTCTGGAGTTGTATGGCAGGTACCCGAACCTGTCAAGCAATTCTTCTAAAATTTCAGAAATACATTTGACCTATAATTGGACACATGACTACCAAGTTTCACGAATCTGACTTTATTATTTTGCCAAATATAAAAAATTTGCTGTTGGAGTTGTATGGCAGCCACCCGAACCGGTGCAGCTATCCCATTATAATTTTTAGAGCATGTGTAGAATATAATTGGACACATGTATACAAAATTTTATATTTATAGCTTTATTAGTTTTCGAAATATTTAAAATAAACTCCTTGAGTTGTATGGCAGCTACCCGAACCCGTTGTCCGAATTAGTCCAATAACAATAGGGTTCGTCCTTGGCACAAAAGAAAAAACTTGTGAAAGTTTGGTGTCGATAGCATTATTCGTTTTTGAGTTATCGTGCGATCGGACGGACGGACGGACGGACGGACGGACATGTCTAAATCGACGCAGAATTTTACGCTGAGCAAGAATATATATATATGTCCATACCGCAGATGACTCCTTCAAGTAGTTACAAACTCCATACCAAAGTTAATATACCCTTCACGAAGTGCAGGGTATAAAAATAGTAAATATAAAATTTACTATTCTTAAACTAAATAAACGGAAAGATCACGCGGTCAGAATAAAAATAACAAAGAGAAAAATTTCCATAAATCCTTAAAAGGAATATGCCTAGAAAATTTGGTCTAAGGGAATGTTTTGTCTTTTACAGTTTTTTCATTAACTAATTAGTTTATTATTAAAGTTTGTTGGTTTTTTTTCCTTTGTATTTTACTCTTCCTTCGAATTTTGTGGCTAAATAACAGGGATGTTATTTTAAAATATTCTTTCATATCACTTGATCCGATTCTATGCGAAAAATAATAATAATTTAGAAATTTTACTTACTGAATAGGATCAGAACAGTTATTTAAACTAAGCAATCAACGACTTATTGAATACAAAATTTATTAATAGATTTATTTTGGACAAAGGTCGTACACCATTTGCAAGTTTAGTTATTTGTGATTTGACACTTCTCGATTATATTCCATCGTGATTTTGCCCGGAATTCACAGATTTATATTGATAAAAACACTAAAATTTTGAAATCATTCAAAAAGTAGTTCAAAATTAAGCTCCAAAATTATGGTGTTTCACAAAATACAGATATGGTGGCCGAAAGCCCGAAGATATTTTCAAATATTAATGCCATGTGTTTAATTTCCATTGAATAATAAAACACTTCTGATTATAATTCAGAAATTTTTCATGTAATTTTTTACCAGTTCTAGCTCTCAAATTGTACAAGACTCAATTGGCAAGTTCTCATTTCTTCATTTATAATAAAATATTTATTTAATAACCACCATTTTTAATTGCTCTTGACATATTTTTTTCTTTTAAATTACCCTAATTGGCTCAGCAATATTGCCATATAATCTCATTTAATCGAAATTTTTTCAAATTTTGAAATTAATTAGTTGTCAAAATTATTTTTAATTTACGGTTTTTAATGCACTTGCAAAACTTTTTTATTGTTTAAGAAAGCATTCAATTGAGATTACAATTTCAATTCTTCAATCAACTTGGATTACAAAGTAAAACAAAATAATATTAGATTTGAAGTATCTTCTGCTTGATTTTAGTCCACTTATTTAAAAATTTAATACACAGAAACAAAATAATGAAAATATTTTAAGAATTTTATTGGCACTAATTTTTTGGCTAAGGAAATAAAAAAAAAATTTTTATATAATTTTTATAATAACCTCTCTCTCACTTCTTGTTCTTCTCTAATTTTCAAATAAAATGTCAAATACTTTGAATACTCTTTATTAATTTATAAAAAGTAAAAATTTTATTTTTAATTCATAATTTCATTTTATTTTAATTTAAAAACTATTTTTAAAATTTTCCTACCTTTTACCAAATGTTACATCATTATGTGCATAATTAACTT